AAAAAAAAAGATTATTCATTTCTGCAAAAATTTGAAATCGTTTCTTAAGCATTCGGCTTCAAGGAACACATGAAAATATGTATGCACGCATTTCGAGACACCATGTCTCACATGATGATTTCTTGGCTGGTTTACATAATTCTTAATAATCACAGAAGCATAAAAAAATACCAGCGTCAAACCATGACTTGGGGTACATTTCCCTGGTCCTGGTCTTCCCTACATCTTAGTTCTTCGATCAGCAACTCGAGCTTCTTCTCCAGCTGCGATCTGCATGCCAAAATTTCTCTGGATCTCAGAGACATTTGCTCCTATTCAATAAAATAAAAACACCAAAAAATAAAATCCCTACACAAATGCTTCGTCTAACAAGTTGTGCAGCGAAAAACTTATCAACTGATTGTAATAGTAAGACAATTTTATACTCGGTTCATTTTGCATCATGAATGACCCACTGTTCTAGCGCGTGAATGCCACAGCTAAAAGCAGCAAATTGATTTTACATTGGGTCATACCGAACTATTTCGGCTTCCGGTTTCTCTCATGCGGCAAAAAAATTGATGAAGTAGCAAATATCATTGATTTGGTTCTTCATGGAACTTCTATAAAACGTCGTCACACGAATATATTTTTCCGAATTGATTTTTTTCCCCTTCGAAAGCGAATACTTCCATATTCTCGACATATTTAAAACCTATATCGACGCATTATTGCTTGAATTCATTCGAGACTCGAGACAAACAAAAGTTCTGAATTTTTCATTTTACAGTAACTTTTTGTGCTACTTCAAGTTCTACTTTCCAATCGATTGAAGACAAACATAAAAATTGAATGAAAACGAACCGGACGAAAAATGCGGAGATTCCAGCGACAATAGTAGGACTTCCACAACTTCATGGACCGGAGTTTGGCAGCTGGGAGGATGATCAACGGCCGAGATTCATACTTGTTGTACAAGGGGTAGAGAAACTCGTCCAAGCGAGAATTCAAGTAAGTCCACAATGATATTGTCTTGCGCTTAACGTCTTTCTCCTTCCGCTCTTTTTCACTGAAACGCAAAAAAATTACAACTTCGTCACTGCAAAAAGGTCACGATCTTATGAATGGTGAGTTGATCCAGATAGGGGATACATTTTAGAATGGTCTTAGTCACAAAAGCGACAAGATACTCTGCAAGTGAACTACACATTCGAAATTCAAGAGACCAAGCAGAAAATTCGAGTTAGAGAGGTAAACAAGAATTTGTGTTGCGGAAAGAAAGAAGAATTTCTGAGAGCTGTAATTGGTGATACCTCGTACATTATGCCTTGAATTGCTCCTGAAATCAGTTGACAGGATTCTGAATTTGGAGGCAAGGGTTTATTTGTTAATTGGACTCATTTCCTCTATAAAAACATCGATACATAGTTATTGCTTTTCTCTTTCCTGTGTCAATAAAATGA